GGCAGCAGACCCGCCACTGGTATCGGTTGCGAGCCATGTCCTGTAAAATCTCGAGCCAAACACAAGGCGAGTCACCTGGACTCTAGCCTGGAAGGCGCGACCGACCAACGGCACCCCGTTTGGTCGTCAATGATTTCATTTCCCGCTACGAAGTCAACTTTAGCCCACCACAAGACTTGCACCATCCTATACCTGGCATACTAAACAAGTCCCTCCTAGGTAAGCGGTGACCAGGTATACGTAGCACGTGCCCTAGTCAACGGAACTTATTCAGTGCTATCTGTTGTTCTAGGGAGCTAGCATGATTATCACTACCTAGTACTTACCTACGCACATCATCGTTGCGGACACACTGGTGCCATCCGACTCCAGCAATGCTTCACAGACAACGATGATCAAAGACTTGAAGGCACCTCAGGTCTTCAGACCGAAGGGGCCAAGTTTCACTACCATAGAGCAGGATGGCCCTAACTGTGGCCATGTATATAGGTCTTACAGACGGTGAAAAACTCTTAATTAGGCTAGAAGTTATAGAAGGAATTTTAGTACTGGGGGTCGGGATGGGAGTATGAGAAACAGCTGGAAAAGAAAGAAGCTAGGCGCCAGTAGTAGAATGTTTCCTCTTATCCGCCCTGATGTATGCAGCAGATAAGCCGGCGCTTGATAATCTGCGCTACGGCCGATGCAACATGAAGTTTATTTTTGAAGAAAAGGTCATGGTTGTATGTGGGCTGAGATGCTGCCAGGGCTCCCAGACAGGAGGACGAATAGGGTCTACAACCAATGCCTTTGGCTCAAAAGTTTGTCCGCAAGGCAGCGGGAAGGTGGCAATGATTGATTTTTGCAGTAATGGATGCCATTCCATTTTAACCCCTCAACGTGGAGGAGCAGGAGACTGATTTTGTCTGACCTCTTGCCATTGACCAATCGGATAGCAGTAGCTCACAAGGGGCCCGAAAGCACCATCCAGTATAGCTCAACCGGTCAAGGAGGTAAGCAAACCGTCGCACTACGTTATGGTCCCGTCTCCTTGTGACGGAATGCTTGAGTGACTTAGAGTAGCGGAGGTCTCAGCAGAAGTAACATCCGGCGTTGTGGAATTGGCTTGCAGTAGAGTGAGACGGAGAGACCTGTATCAGGCGTTCTGCTATGCTTGTTCTTACTGAAGCTATTTTGGTACCCAAAATTAGCTCAGCCACTTCTGGCAGCCTATTATATCTTTGGGAAGGCGCAAATACGGTCTTATCTTATGAGACGATATTACACTTCTCGCAGAACCAAATGGATCTGGTTGTTGCTGATCAGCTTAAACTCGTTTAGAACTTTGTTCCCTATTTATCATAGAATTAGGGGGAGCAGTTTAAAGAGGAAATTCCCATTTGACCTTTTTTTGCAATTTTCGCAAGCGCCCTTAAGCTGCTCGCGCCCAGCAGGTGGCGTGAACGTGTTGACGCTTAGTCCAACCCTAGACTCAAGCTTGATTCAGCTACCTGCCATCTTGGGGTTACATGCACACACCCACACGAAAACGCGGCGTGTATTGATCGACTCGCTTTACGCAACGTTGAAGGCGGGCGCTGAGATGCGTCCCTAAGTGTCTCTAGGAGGCGAAGTTTAGTGGATGAGCGACACAAAATGTCCCGTAACTTTGTTCTGCTACAGTCTGCAGTAATGGTTGCAGAGTCGTTTGAGAGTCCTCAAGTTCTTCCGACCAAAATTATTCCCGAACAACTCAGGTGTATTGTAATTACATACGTTGCTCTCGACCAAGAATGCGCCAAAACTGCGAATCGGTGCAGTAGTATGATCCACACAAGTCAGGTGGAAGGTGGGACGCACTGGGTAGCGCTCCTGGAACTGGTTCGAAAGAGCGCACACATAAGAATGTGTGCGGATAATTGGAATGGCAAACGCGGGTGTAGCGAGAGCATATACGGAGTGCAGGCGTACGGCATGAAGTTCTGCAAGTCAGGCCGACGATCTGTGGAACGTAAATGGGCTGCCTGTAAAGGGGGCTCATCCAACTCCTTCCAATCCATTATAGGAGCAGGAGTGCCCCAGACCAGCTAATTTGTATTCTAACTCATATCACTATTAGACATAGATAAGAAGAGAGACGTGGATCAGCGGATTTTTTCATGCGTCATTAATAGTACATATTAAAGCTGTGCAATGACGAGAATTTCTAGATTATGGGCTACTGAGGAAACCAACCAAGTGTTCTGTCGGACTGGGCTATGTAGTGCGAACAATGTTGCCTCACGATCATTCGTTCACGCAATTTGCTTGCCTCGTGAGCAGGGGATTGCTGACGCAATTTTTATAGATGATTTAATGGAACAATGGAACAACGGTTTTATGCGGGTAAAATAGCTAAGGCTTAACAGGTCCCTTAGGAAGAATATGGTGAAACTACAACATACAAAAAATTGTTGGCAAAATTGCGTTTACACCAGTGAACTCACTGAAGTGTAGTTAGTGTAAACTGTAAATCCAAGGTAAATCACTACTCAGTGACGGCAAATGGAATATTGTGAAACTCGTTGTCACGTCCTAGTGTACACGTACAGGGGGTGAAAAAATGGAACGAAATCTGGAATTTTGCCCTCAGTAAAACTTATTATAGACACTTGTGTTTATCCATGGGTAATGAAGGAGTTACGTAAGATGGCGTACCGAAATAAGTGCACAGTCAACTCGGACTTTGAACTCTGCCAGCGTGGGAGCACAAATGATAGATTCAGGTAGAGCATTCCACTTTCTGCAAACCCGTAGAGAAAAGTAATTCCAAACGAGTGTACTACTCTGCCAGCTTGAGATCGTAGGCTCTCAAATTGCTGTTGTGACAGAGCTCTAGCAAGAAGCGGCACGCGTGGTTGGGAGTTCACAAAGTCTATTAAGTCAAAATGAGGTCCCCACGCAATCGCCGATACCGTTCGCTGAGGACCCCGAGCACTTGTAGTATTCGTTCATACGGGAAATTATCAGACTCTTGAGCTTTTGGGTTTCCTAGCGTTCGGGTTTCTCCAAGACGGTGAGATATCTTCTCAACCATGGCTGCCAGACTTGTATTGCGTATTCCACAGGTGACCGTATGTATGCTCCGAGAAGTTGTGCAAATATCAAGGGGTCGAATCGTCCGAATGCACCCTTCAGGGGGCCCATAATTTTGATGACCCTTCTTGGCTTTGTTTCATCCTGATTCGAACATCCAAGATCAACCTGGACAAAACTCCCATATCCTCTTCCCCATTTGACATTTGAAGCTCCTGGTTGCCGTGTTTAGGAGTCCACCAGCTTCTGCCGTAGGTACAACACGCAACGTTTGTCCACATTGAAACGAAGTAGATTCTGGATTTACTACGCTTATACCCTATCCAGATCAGCTTGAAGTACTGTGATCTCATCTGGTGTATTGATCTCTTACCAAACCTTGATATCATTGACATCAAGCAGGCAGTTTGAGCTTATAAGGCGTGTGCTATCGTTAACATACGTCAGAAATAATCGCGGTCCAAGTACCGATCCTTGTGATACTCCGCATTCAACTCGGACGGGTGCATTACAGTACTGTGACGGCCGACGAATCCTCTACCCAGCTAAAACTTTAAGTCATATATTGTTACTGTACGCGAAGTCGTAGCTCTAAGAAACAAGCATGTTCTTTGAAAAGTTCGTGTCTTACGCCACACTGGAGGATGATCCGTGCAGTTAGTCAACTGGTCATAATGGCCTACTGCATTCACCCATGGTATATTGGCATAGCTGCTGACGTCGAGAGCTCGGTCTCCATCGAAGCTGCTGGACAAATCTCACTAAGACGAAACGACTGTTTGATGCTTTTCCGTATGTGTGGGAGAATATCTGTATTTCAACTGTGATACATCGCATCTAAAGCGTTTTGCTTTTCGACCCCAACCGTAATAATTCACCTGCTGTTTCACAGTGCCAGCGGAAGCGGCTTTAATCCTGGTGCTGGAGATAGGAAATAGTGGCTGTTCAATGCTAACCCCTTGATTAGGTTTGCTTGTGACGGATTCCATTTGAACCGAGTGATTTCATATACTTTTACCCAGAAGTTAAATGCGAAGTTCAATATATACCTATGTCACTGATAATGACGTGAACAGTTTTTTGGTTTAACATGGGACGTCATTGATGTAAGTGAATTTGTTGAATGATTTTGGTTGACTATAACAGGTTTTCTGGCACCCTGACCCCCATTAGCTACAGGAGACTGATACAGGCCACAAGTCAGGGATTTGCTAGGATACAAGCTTTGAATTTATGCTAATTGCGTCCTACTTCACATCACAGCAATAGAGTCTGGATTCATTTATCAGGGATGTGGAGGATTACTATAGTGGTGCTATATGATCGACACGAACAAGCATTGTCGGTCGGTTGCCACTTGACCAGGTAAAATAAGGACGTTTACAGCGCCGAGTTCGGATCAGGTAAGATGATCGCTTAGACCAGTGCGGACGGTAGAGAACTAAATGAGCAAGACAAGCTGGTCTTACCCAAGTAACCTGATTAGTTCACTATGTGCGGACTACAGGTATTACTGCACACTGGATGACAGTGCATTTATCACGAATCAATCGGTGCTTCCTTAAAATCGGAACAAAAAGCTTCTGAGACAAGCAAAACGGTCTGAGGGCTTGTATCGGAACGCGTCCGTTTGTTTCGATATCCTCAGCCTAGTAAAGTCCAAAATTCTGGGCTGTGAGGTTAATAGAGAGTTGAGTTTCAACTGCAAAATTCTGTTTTATTGTTATGTGCCTTGTTGCCCACATGCATACAGCATTTTTGCTTTTGTTTCAAGTTAAAACTGAGAGCCCAGTGAGCACTGTCATATATCCTCTAAAGAATTCTGACGATGGCTTGTATATACCTGATACACGTTGTCGTTTCCTACCCCTTTGCGTTTCTCATTTAAAATTGGCATGAGTGGATTACACTAATGGATGGACATTCCATTGCATTCGTGTCATTACATGATGGTCTTTTTTCAATATCAACAGCCCCATCGGATTTCTGTAAGAGCTATCTGCTCGAAAGGACAATCAAAAGATGCCGAATGCACCTTGGTGGTCGGACGAGGGATGACAGTAACACCCGGCCGGTTGAGAGCTACGCAAATTGGAACGAACTCTGCCAAATTGAGTTGGATGCCCGGAAATAGCAATCTTTGTCATAAGGTTTTCCTGAATCAAGTTGAATTGAAAGTGTGTCCCCCAGGTGTCTACAAAGTTTTGCTCACAGGTCAGTACCGACTAGTGTTAAAACCTCATAGTCATTGTGTCGTTCATCCAGTCACGGTAAATAGAGTTGCTTTTGTTAACCTTCAACACTGCTGTCAATCACCAAATCCGTCCTACTTTGGACTCCTCAAGCAAGAATAGTCAAGCAGTTAATCGAACCACGAAGGTGCAGCTTACCTGCTGACTTGAGGGGTTAAAACAAGAGCCACTATGGGAATACAGCGCAATACTTGTTGCGAACAACTCTTAATGTAAATGCAATTGAGCTACCGTACATTTGAATGTAGTTATTGGATTTTACCTGGAAAGTGATCACATTCCAAATTAAGGTTGCGTGTTTAGTATATTCATACAAGTGATATTCCGGATAGGCAAACAGTGCCAATTTTTTTCCTCTCTATCTCTTTAACTCCGTCAGATCTGCAACCAGACACGTTGCACCAAGTATGCGTGCAAGCCATACCCCGGCTCACAAGCGAGTCGGAGCCCAAACCAGTGAATTTGACCTGGATAACAAGCCCTCAGAGTGCGGTTGATGTACAGAGAGCAGCAGCCTTCATTGAATTTCGCACCATTCCCATCGGTACGCATTACTTTCAGATATAGGTATTGTGGACGACATCAGATCCTTGGTCACCCCAATAATGTTAACTGTTTTTGCCTTTGTTCCGCACTATCCTCTCATCTTCATTCGACTTGATACATATTGTATGCCACCGTTTGAACACTATCGATAGAATCAAGTTGGTAGTCTTGCAAAGCTATATGCTCTCGGTGTAATTGTGTGACGGTGAAGAAACGACAAAAGTAGACTTTAGGATGCGTGGACAACTTAGGTATATATACCCGAAATTATTTATCTATTCTCCCTCTCTATAGCTTCTTTTACAAATAATCAATCAATGGAAGTGTCTGATATTCTGCTTAATGGTTATGGTGACGTAAGTCCTAATGAAAGCAACTTAAACCCACATTTGCCAGCGAAGATATTCGTTATTCCAATAGAGCTATAGTAGGTGGGCTGTTTAAACCATTATCTTTACTTCAGGGAATTCGGTTGCCTAAGGTCCCTGGTAGTGTCATCCCAAATGCCTTTCTACCATTCGAAGAACATAAACTTCTATTGTGTCGCCGCTGATGTCTTCACCCCACGACCGCAAGAAAAAGTTCAAGACGAGCCAGAAGGAGACTTGTATACATGAAATCACAGTTGCTTACATAGTTTAAAGGAAAAATGAAGGGAAGCTACTAAAGTACACTTGAGCCAAACAACTGAAGGAAAAACGTCAAATGCAACGGCGAATAAGCAACCGTGTACTCAAGAGCGAATCGCGTAGGTCCTTAGGAATAGCATCATTGAACTCCAAGCGTAAAGCGAACGACCATTTACAGTGACGGGCACTGGCCAATCAGAATGACGAAATGAAACGTTTAAACAAAGTCACGAGACAACCGAGAATAAGGAATGCAGACACAAAAGTTGAAAACTAGCACAATAATTGTGTGACAACTAAATATTCCTTTAACATAACCAAGTAGAACAGTGATGAGAAGAAAAAGCCAATAGAATATGTTCTTGCAAATAGCGCTGCTGAGAAGGGCATGACGATGAGCGTCCATTATCAATGACGTGGATGTACCAATCGGACGAACCCAGTAGAGCGTTTAAACAACAGTTAAGAAATAGAAAATAGGAAGAGTAAAGACTAGTTATCAAGCTCGTTCACAATAAATGAATGTCTAATAGCTGTCCTCCTAATACCTCCCTCTCTTTAAAAATACGGGTTACCTGGGGTTCGCATAGCTCTTTCGACGCGGATCCACTTGGAGAGGCTGCACGAATCTTCCTGTTCTCTTTGGCCTGTGGCGAGCGCCGTTTTCCATGCATTCCACTGGACGAACGTCACCACCTGCAGGAGTACTAGGCTTGACAGTGTCCAGCAATTCATTGACGTCAAGTTCGTTGGCTTTCGGAACTACGGCACCATGTGTATAACGTGACCTCAACTGATTTACGTGGCGTCTCCACACCTGTGTACCCACTTGAACATCATATATCACGTTGCCTCGGCGCCGCACGACTCGTCCTGGTATCCATGCGATCCGCCGTCCTTGATTAGCGGCCGCAAACACATGATCGCCCATTTTGAAAATCCTTTTTCTTGCACCATATCGCCTGTTGTACTGACGCTCCATCACTGAATTCTTTAGTTGTAGAGAGAGACGCTTGGGTGTCAGCAAATCTAGTGTGGTTCTCAACCTTCGACCCATAAGTGCTTCAGCTGGTGATTTTCCATCTGGTGCATTAGGATTCGGGGTAACTCTATAGTTCAAAAAGAAACGTTCCAATCTTTCGTTCAGCCATCCCTCCTCTTTTGACTTTCACAGTGTTCGTTTCAGTATCCACAAATCTTTCCGCTTGGCCATTTGACTGCGGATGATACGGGGCGGTCCTCACATGCTCGATCCCATTCTGTGCACAAAATGCAGCACATTGACAGGAAGTAAACTGTGACCCGTTATCTGACACGACTGTTACTGGCAATCCGTGCTGACTGAAGACATGTCTCATCGCAATAACTGTGCTGTTGGCCGACGTGTTTTGCATGGTGATTACCTGCGGCCATTTACTGTAAGCGTCAATAATAACGAGGAAATGCACTCCTTCGACTGGTCCTGCGTAATCCACGTGTATGCGCGACCAGAGCGATTCAGGGTTTGGCCAAGCTTGTAATGTAGAACGTACCGGTAACTTGGACGCACTAATGCATCTGGAGCACGATCGGCTAATATCTTCAATTTGGCTATCCATCATGGGCCAAAAAACGCAGCTGCGTGCAAGCGCCTTCATGCGAGCGATTCCTGGATGGCTCTTGTGCAGTTGCAATAACACGCGTGATCTGAGTATTTCTTTAATGACAATGCGATCTGCAAAATCAGGCAGGAATCAACTTCAGACAAAGAGTTGCGTCGTGTGAAAAACTGTGCAGTGCTTCTTTCGGGCACTTCTTTGGTCAGCCCCGTCTTGTGTAGGTTAATACCTCTTGCAGCAATGTATCCTGTTCAGTGGCTTGCTTCACCATTGTGCCAGTGACCGGTAAATTACTCACGGCGTCATGTACCATGTAGCTGACATCCGTTTCGGCTGCGATGGAGGCAATGACTGCGTCTTCTGATTCACGCCTACCGGTATCGATTAATCTGGAAAGGGCGTCCGCTTGCTCTATAGAATCCGTAGACAAGTATCGCATGCTGAAATTATTTTCCAAGAGCAAAGTTGCCCATCACTGAAGTCGACTGGCCGTATATGCCTGAATCCCCTTTTTGGATCCAAAGATTGCCAGAAGCGGTTTGTGACCCGTCACCAACGTGTACCGTCGACCGTATACCATCTTACGGAACTTCTGCACTGCAAAGATGATAGCCAACGCCTCTTTCTCAATCTGACTATAATTCTTCTCGGATGCCGTCAGCGCTCGCGCAACATGTGCTATAGCCTTTTCGGATCCATTTGAAAAACCATGTGAAATGACAGCACCAATTCCATAGCTTGAAGCATCCGTGGCCACGATAATCTCCAGCTTCGGGTTATAATGCGTAAGCAGTAAGTCCGACTTCAGCAGAGATTTCAGTTGCTTGAACGACTGTTGACACTGTGCAGACCATCTCCATTGGATGTCTTTCATCAGCAGGTGGTTTAGAGGATGACGCAAGCGATGCATGTGTTGTGTCTACACGTACACCAGTCCCCTGCACGCAGGGCATGAACATGCACGACCAAAGCCCCGAACGAGGAAGCAGAACTCTACTGGCACGCAACACAAACTTCTATTCACGCCAACGGTACATACACTCAGTACATTCAAAACAACCCTGGTATTGATCGCGAACGGACGGGCATCCAATCACAAGCTACGAAGTGCGGTCGTGGTAAGGCCCGCGCGTACGCGCTGCCACACTACTCCCTCTCTTTAGCGGTTGGTTCACTGCGGTGGCCCTCGTTTCAGGACACTGCTTCGGTTGAAGTGCTGAATATAGCTGTCTGGAGTTGACTCGTCGGCCGTCTGCTAACTCATAAGTTCCTGGCCCTAACGCACGAGTAATTCTGATGGGTATCGTCAGTGCCGGTTCTCCTTTCCGTGTTTGCCTCTCCTTTATCCTGACCAACGTTCCAGGACGCAGCGATGTGGCCCGTTTTTCGTAGGATGACTGATAAACCCGGCGACGTTCCAGTTGGTGGGGTCGTTGTTTTCTGCAGCCGAAATAGCTGCGCTTAGTTTCGTACGCAACTTCCTGCCAAACATCATCTCACCTGGCGTGCGATCAGTCGCTCTGTGGTGCGGTGTTCGGTGAGTAAACAGAGCCTCCAAAACGGCATCTTCCCATGCCTGCCGGACAAACGTGCTGTCTGTATAGTTTCCTTTAGCGTGCGATTAGTGCGCTCAACCATGCCGTTGGCAGCTGGGTTGTACGAGACAGTATGTACGTGCTTCACATCACGAAGTTGTAAGAAACGTTTTAACTCATAGTTCGTGAATTGTGGTCCGTTGTCTGTCACAATTTCCTCAGGAAACCCAAATCTAGCAAACAGATGTTTTAGCCACCGTATAACCGTTGAGGTGGTCACATCGCCACACAAATTGATTTCCGGTCACTTACTGTAATAGCACGTGGCAACTAAGCAGTTCCTCTGGTGCTGTGGCGCAGAATGAAACGGTCCCATGATGTCAATCGCCACCTTCGACCAAGGTTTCATTGGATAAGTAACAGGTTGGATGGGAGCATCGATTGGTTTGGAGCTCTTGTCGACCTTCTGACATGCATGGCAAGACCGGACACACGCCTCTGCCATTTTATTCATTTTTGGCCACCAAAAGTATTCTTGAAGTCGGCGCTTCGTCCGTACGATACTCCGATGTCCCTCGTGTGCACATTGGATAATTTTTGATGTCAGTTTCTGTGGAGCTACGAATCACGATCCTCGCATAAGGCAATCATCAACGACCGCTAGCTCATGTCGTAATACATAAAACGCCCGTAGTTCACCACTCAACTTCGCGTGGCGAGGCCAGCCTTGAGAGAGATAGTGAATGACATCTTGCACATATGAATCACTCCGGTTAGCTTCTTAAAGCTCCTGTTTAGTAACCGCGGAGAGCTCACTTGATTGTAAAGCAGAAATCATGGCTTTTTCTTCGTCGTCTTCATTCTTGTTGGAATCATCCAATGGGAGACGTGATAAGCTATCTGTCATACGGTTCTCGGAGCTATCGCGGAAGATGATTTGAAAATCATAGTTCAGTAACCGCGCATACCAGCGGTTAATCCGTAGTGGCCTGTGACCATTGATTCCTCGGCTGAGGAGGGTAGTTAGAGCAGCATGATCCGTGCGCAATGTAAATCTCCGACCAAACAGAAACAGGTGCCATCTTTCACAGGCCCATACACAGACAAGGGCCTCTCTTTCACCTGCGGAATATGAAATTTCAGTAGGGGATAACTTTCTAGAAGCATATGCAATCACTTTTTCCTCACCGTTCTGAATTTGAGACAAGACCGCTCCTAAACCGATGTTTGACGCAT